TTTTGACGAATAACATTTCCCGACATTAGGGGGAGACAGTAAACAACTAAAAAAAGAAATTTCGTGGAAAATACCACTTGAATTTGATCATCGTACGAAATATAGTGAACTTGAAGTTCAAAGAATTGTGCATTTGCAGAAAATTGCAAATCAATTGCCTGATGCTTTTAATGATGGTGCCAGAGTTATAAAATCATATATTGCAGCAACAAAAATGCACCGGCTAAAATAAATATTCCAGAAGGGAAGGTGCCGAGTGCTAATGAACATACTGCCCGCGTAAAACGTGGCACACCGTTGGGTTCCAAGGATAAGAATCCACGAAAGAGGAAAATTGTAAATACTGGTGAAGATATCAACAATGATCAAATAACTGAAAATGTCAGTACAACCCCTGAAGAGGTTGATACTAAAAATTCTGATGAAAGTGATGATGAAGTTATTGAAACTTCTGTTAACTATACCACCAGTAGAAAATATTGGAATAGAAAGAAAACAAATATTGATAATGCATTTGCATATTCTGTAGCGCTCGATATAATAAAAGATGACGAGGATATATGAACCAAAATCAGTTGATGAATGTCGGAAAAGAGATGATTGGGCAAAGTGGAAAGACACAATTAAGTATGAATTGGACTCATTGAATAAACGACAAGTATTCGGACCCATAGTCCAAACACCTGAAAATGTGAAACTTGTTGGCTACAGATGGGTGTTTGTGAGAAAAAGAAATGAAAATAATGATATCACAAGATATAAAGCAAGACTTGTAGCCCAGGGTTTTTCCCAGAGACCGGATATTGATTTTGAAGAAACATATTCGCGGGTCATGGATGGAATAACATTCAGGTATCTGGTGAGCCTGGCAGTACACAATAATCTTGATATGCGATTAATGGATGTGGTTACTGTTTATCTTTACGGCTCTTTAGATAATGACGTCTATATGAAAATCCCAGAAGGGATCAATATACCTGAATCATTCAAATCAAAGCCAAAAGAATCATATTCCATCAAATTGCAAAAATCTTTGTATGGGCTCAAGCAATCGGGCCGAATGTGGTACAATCGCCTCAGCGAAAGCTTAACCAAAGAAGGTTACATAAATGACCCTATCTATCCATGTGTTTTTATAAAGAAAAATGGGTCTGAATTTGTAATCATCGTTGTATATGTCGATGATCTCAATTTAATTGGAACTCCTGATGAAATCCAAAAAGCTTTTGAATATATGAAAAAAGAGTTTGAGATCAAAGATTTTGGAAAAACTAAATTTTGTCTTAGTTACAAATTGAGCACTTGGAAAGTGGAATCTCTATCCACCAATCAAATTATACCAAAAGAGTACTGAAGTCATGATGGATAAATCACATCCGCTAAGTACCCCAATGATTGTCAGGGCACTCGATCAAGCAAAAAATCCATTTAGACCAAAAGAGGAAAATGAAGAAACACTTGGACCTGAAGTGCCATATATGAGTGCTATAGGCGCATTAATGTATCTTGCCAATAGCAACCGACCTGATATATCATTTGCTGTAAATTTATTGGCGAGATTCAGTTCATCGTCTACTCGACGACATTGGAACGGGATTAAGCACTTTTTTTGCTATGTCCAAGGAACAATTGATCTCGGGTTATTTTACTCAAAAAAATTCTCGACATGAATTAATTGGATTTGCCGATGCAGGATACTTTCGGATCCTCATAAAGCCAAGTCGCAAACTGGCTATATATTTACTTTTGGCGAAACTGTGATCTCTTGGAGATCGATGAAACAAACTTTAACTGCCACTTTTTCAAATCATGCTGAAATATTGGCAATACATGAAGCTAGTCGAGAATGTGTTTGGTTGAGGTCAATGACTTAACATATTTTGAAAAATTGCGGGTTAATACCTGATGATAAAATTCCCCCAACGACATTGTATGACGATAATACAGCTTGTATAGCCCAATTGAAAGGGGGTTACATTAAAGGAGATAGAACGAGACATATTTCACCAAATTCTTTTTTACTCATGATCTTCAGCAGAGTGGTGAAATTGATGTGCAACAAATTTAATCCAATAATAATTTAACAGATATATTAACCAAGGCATTGCCGACGACAACATTTGAAAAACTGGTGAAGAAAATTGGGATGCGTCGGTTAAGGGATATCAAATAATGCTCAAATCAAGGGGAGCGAATCGATACAAGAATGTTGTACTCTTTTTCCTTCACTAGGATTTTTTGTCCCACAGGATTTTTCCATAGTAAGGTTTTAACGAGACACATTCTTCGTATAAAAGCATCCAATGGGAAGTATTGTACACGTAACACACACGATGTGCTACGTATCTGCTATGTATGCTTTCAATTACTTCGTTGTGGGGTACTTTCGTGTATAAATACTTATGAAAATAATTAAATCAAAACACATCTCATTTTTACTTTGTCTATGTAATTGCTTTTCCCCCCACTGCATTTCCTCCTCCACTTTCACATACATACATTATGTAATACATATATTTATATATACATACATACTACATATATATATTATATTCACAGACACACGGCTGCACACACATACATCTATATATATATATACCTATTACATATATATATTATATATAATATATATAAAATAGTGGTTAGCGGTAGAAATAATTAATATTTCTATTGGCTATTCCTATACTAATATTACAACAAAGCTTTTGATGTTATTATAAGAGATCTCATAGATACTAAGAGTAGTTTCGGACATTATAATTACAAGCCTAACAATGTACAAGCTTTTCAATGACCATCAATAAATTACAAAAAGGTACATTATATGTTGTTGACCTATACATGAAACAAACTATGTTTATACATGGTCAACTTTATGTTGCATTATCGTGGACAAAATTTTTTCGCACTTTTCATTTTCTCCTACCCCTCGATATAAATAGTGGTATGTCTTCTCCTTGGACAAAAAATTATTGTTTAAAAAGAATTTTTATAGTTGACCAACATTCACACATTTTTATCTCCAAATCCAACACCATTTACAGATGGTTTTATCTCCAAATCCAACGTCATTTACAAGTGCTGATTTTTATGATATAACTTTTTAAAAGTTGAATTTCGTGTTTTTTTTTTTTACTTTTATTCAAATCTAAATAATTTAATTTATGAATAATACAAAATTTAAATATAAAACTACTAAATCTAAAATATCTCAACAATCCTCTCAAACTCAAATGGTATAACATAAACCAACTTGATTTTGATAAGAAAGTTGAATACATACCCAAAAAAGACACAAATAAAAATAACAGTAGCTTATTTACCGTTGTCGCCGCCGCTCTACCGTGTCATAGCCATAAACAATGCTCTCAACTGAATTAGAGTCGAAAATAACAGAACTCACAACAGAGTCGAAAATAACAGAACTCACAACAGAGTCGAAAATGACATGACTCTCTACTGGAGCCGAAAACGATATGACTCTCTACCAGAGCCGGACTCTCTACTAGAGCAAAAAATGACGGGAGTACTTTCACAAAGTCGGAAATAATATAACTCTTATTGCAATCAGAAACATGGTTTTGGAGAAATGTAGAAACGTAGCAGACGGATCACAGAATTGCAGATAGATGCACAAACATGACTTCAATCGTAGACAAGACATGACTTAAAACAAAATTAAAATCAGAAATAAAAAGACTATAAACCATTGATAAAATCTCAAAACTGGATGAATGAACGTAGGTCCCAGGGCCAACTGACTCCCCAAATTTTTTTTAAAAAATCATTTCTTTTAGTGTAATTTTTATATTATACTATTTTCCTCCGTTTCTAAGGGTTATATTTACCTTTTACAATATTATACTTAATATTAAAAATATTATTATATTAGTATAATTTTTTATATAAATATTATTATATTAATATTATAAAATATTAATAAATTATTTTCCTTAATTTATACTATAATTTAATATAATAATTAATATTTAAATATCAACGTTAAAAAGTTAAATGTTGTCCTCACCGCTAGAGGGAGGGAGTATATGATTACATGGTTTTGTTTGCCCCTTTATCCATAATCTATTTTGTACATTAATTTATTAATTTTATTTATAATATATAATATTTTTATCATAAATATATATAAAAACTAAGTTTTGTTTACATAAAAGCTTTGGAATATTAGAAAAAAAAAAAGGTAAAAGATGTACTCCTTCGCTTCTAAGGGTCACGTTTATTTTTTATGTCATTTTACTTAACATTGAAAATGTTTTTATAATTGTATAATTCTTGTGTACAAATATTCTTTTATTAGTATTATAAGACACTAATGAAAGTATTTTTGTAATTTTTTCTTAATTTGTACTACATTTTGATATGATAATTAATATTCAAATATCAATACGCAAAAAGTAAATGAGACTCTTAGAGTCAGACGAAGATAATATATGATATAATATTTCGTAAAAAAATATTTAAGTTGATATATATATTGAATTGCGGATTCTATTTAACAAAAAACAGTAATTCAAACTGACAATTTATAATTTAAAATATGTAAGAGACAATAAACAGAACCAACTTGTTGATTCCGCCTCCGGAGTTCGAAAGCTGGTTCCGTCACTGGATTAGGATATGATATCAAAAATTAAATCTTATCAGATATGATCTCAAATTTAAATATGAAAATAAATTTTTAAGATATAACTTATCAATTTCGTATGGATTGAGTTTTTCAAATTTCTATATCCGACTTGTGAGCTTACCGACTCAGCCCGACGTCTGATTCGAATTTGCAATTCAGTTCGGCACATAATTATGGGACATGATAATCATATTATCTCATATATTTTTTCACTCACCATAATTCGATTTTGAGAAGCAAAACATTTAATCATTATTTGATTTTCTGAATTATCAAAACGAGAATTCCAACAATAAATACCAACATATTTTTAACTTTTACAAAATTATTCATTTTCTTTATAGTTGTAAGGACAAAAATATTATTCTCTTCGTCCCATAAAAAGGATATCATTTTCCATTTTTGCCCGTAAAAAAAAAGGATATCATTTCCTAATTTAGTAATTGTACTGCCTAACATAATTAATATCCTTACAACTTCCAATATATTACACAAATGTCATTACTTTTTTATCACACAATCTAATATGGGCATTTTTGTCTTTTTTACTATAAACCAATATAATACTAATATTAGAAAATCTACGTGTAAAAAACAAATGTTACTCTTTTTGCGGGACGAAAATAGTATTATTATTTGAACACATTTCTATTAATTAATAAAATAGAATTATACTTAATTTATTAAAAAATTAAATAAATAGTGTGAATTGAAAAGTAAAAAATATTAAAAAATTCACTATAATCCCCAAAACTAAGACAAATTGTCAAATAAAATAAAATAAAACAAAATAAAAACCAACAAACTAAAAAGATCCAGCTTCAGACTCATGCACCACAAGAAATCAATTATCTGATTTATCTATTTCCATTTGCCAAATATATGCTGTGTTCTTAATGCATCTGACATTAACCTGCATTGCAAATATATATATATATATATATAATTAAATTAAATTAAATTAGATGCAGAGATAGATATAATATGAATTATTAATAAAAAAAAGGGTAAACTGATTTTTGGTCCCTAACTGTACCCCTTGTCATTTTAGTCTTGTAAGTGGAGCATGTCGCAAACTAGTTTTATAAGTGAAATTTTTTCTCTTCTAGTCCTTCGGCGCCGGAGACGCCCGCGTGGCTCACCGGAGGTCACGTGTCCGCCAGGTTAGGGACACCTGGTGGATACATAATTTTATTATTTTTTATTTTTTAATTTTTTTTAAATTTTTTTAAAATTTTATTTGCTTTTTTTTAAATTTTTTTTATTTGGTCCAATTAAAAAAAAATTAAAATAAAATTAAAATAAAAAATAATAATAATAAATTCTAGGACACCTGGCGCACACGTGGCTTCCGGTCAGCCACGCGGGCGTCTCCGGCGTCGGAGGACTAAAACAATGAAAATTTTTCACTTATGTGACTAGTTTGCGACAGACACCACTTACGGGATTAAAATAATAAGACGTCCGTTACGGAACTAAAAAACAGTTTACGCTAAAATAAATAATAATAATAAAATAAATACCAAGGGACTTTCTGCAGAGGGAGAGAAGAACAATGAGCAGAGCAAGGCCTGCAATTACACCCACAATTATGGCCACAGTCTTTCCCACATCGTCTTCCTCTGAAGAACTTCGTCCTAATTCATATTGCAATAAACTATTATTCCATAATAATAATTTTCTATTTTCTGTATAAATATATTTTTTTAAAAAAATAAAAATAAAATAAAATTATTACACAATCCTAGCATTTCTTATAAAATTACATTATTTTTTCTAACAAAAATACTCATATTCAATAATTATTTAACTAAAAGCCTAAAATTAAAATACAAAATCGAATTAAAAAGGAACAAACAAGATACACGTAATTGCTAAAAATTGGGAGTATTATTATTTTTATCTATAAAAACAAAAAGTGTGTTTTGTGGGGTGTGTATATTTTTTCGCAATTTTTTTTCTTCTTTTTTCACATTTTACCATTTGAATTGTGTATTTTTTAAATATATGTATATGTTTTTATTAAATATTTTATCAAATATTATTTTAATATCAAATTTAAATCAATATTCTCCAAATCCACTCAAAAGAAACACACCCTAATACAGAATATGTGATATTGGTAATATAAAAATAATATTTTGTATAAAATTGTTAACTTTTTGTAAAAAATAAAATATTATATATATATTATAGACATAAAAATTTAGTAGAAATGTAATTAGTAAATAATAAAAAATATATTCATAGAAATAATTACAATATAATAAAAATAATTATAAATTAAAATAACTAATTAGTATAATCAAAATTTAAAATATAAATAAATTGTAAAATTTAAATTATAATTAAAGTATATAATTTTTTTTTTTTAAAAAATAACATAATATGTAGAACATGCCGATTATGCTCTTAAGCATTTAAATAAGAATTATTCTTTTTATCCAGTACGATCCAGTGTTTACTTTCGGACAGCGGGTGTGAATTCTCACATCATAATAAAAATAAAAATAATAATAAAAAAAAATTCTTCCATTATAAATATAATATATATTAAAGGAAAGTGAAAAGAGAACACAAATTAAAAGGGGGTGAGGATAACATAAATTAGATTCAAAGATGAAAAGCAACATCAAGTGGAGATTTGTTTATAGCTCTCTACTCTATGGTGCATAATTTCACTATTCAAAAAAATAAAAATAAAAACAATTTCAAATTCTAATAGTATTATAAATATTATTGCTCTTTTTTTTGGATAAAAAAATAAAAAGAAAATATAGTTTGACAACTTATATATTTATTTAATTAAAAAAGATAAATTAACATTATTCACTTAATATATTTTTTAATATTTCATCCTTTATTCAAATTAGTGCTCATTTCGAATTTTAATAAATATGAGTAATAATGGGTATTTTTTCTTTTTATAGTTAAACAAAGTACAAAAATGTAATAAATTTTTACTTACAAAATAAACAATAATATTTTTCAATGACAACCCAAAAAGAAAAATTAGCATAGATTTGAATGATTGAGGGAGAATAATGATATATTATTTTTTCTCACAAAATACCACATCAAAATTTTATTTTAAAAAAAATTAAATTAATAATAACCATTAAAATTTAAATTAAAAAAAATCAAATTGTGAGTTTATTTGTCAAGGCATTATTGAGCTGATACTTCACACATATATTTAAAATAAATATAAAGTATATATTTTGAAAAATAATCACTACAAATTCTCACATCATAGAAAAATATTACTACTATCTATAAAAAAAAAGTATTTACATAACAATGAAAGTACTTTCTAATAATATCAGTTATTCTTCTAGCAGCAATTTTTTAATTGAGATTCCCAAAAAGTAATACTTCCTCCGTTGTTCAATTATATACTTATTTAGCGAGTATAAATTTTTCAAAAAATAGATAAAAATAAAAACCGTTACTTTTAAGGTAAAGAGATAGTAAATTTTTTTTTTTTAATTTTAAAAAAATAAAAATAAATTTAAATGATAATAAAAAAGAAAAATAAGAATATATTTGAATATCGGAGGGATTAATAAAAATCACAAATATTTTATACAAAAGTAAAAAAGTCAAAATACTCATTATAAAAAATAAAAAAGTCATTACAAAAAGTTAAGAGTTTGTTTCTTTTGATAAGTTTGAAAAACTTTTGGTTTGAATTTGATATTAAAATAACGTATGATAACTATACTCCATTCGTTTTGCCACAGATGGCTTCATTTCATAGATGACTTCTTTCTATTTTTGGTAAGTTTATCAATCTTAAACATACTAACAAATATAAATAAATTTAATTAAACTTCTAACATCTTACGTGGAAGACCCTTTCTCTCATCGATTAACAAATATTTTTATCTACCTTTAAAACTCCTCATTTTTTATAAAACTAATTTATAGTAACGATAAATAAATAAATATATTTTTTATTCATTTGTATTATATAAAATTTTATTGTTTACAAAATAATATTCATATTGCATATATTTTATTCAGATATAATTCTAAAAATATTTAAAATACCAACAACACTACACATATAAAAAATAAATAAAATATTATCTTAATTTATTATTAATAACTTAATAAGCTACATTACCTAAAATAGTCCTAAACAAAAAATGTACAGAGGATTTTTTTTAATTGTTTTAAAAATAATAAAATAATTAGAATAATATAAATAAATATAAAATATGATATTCTAAATAGAAAAAAAAAAAATAATAATAATAATATAGTACTACTTTTAAATTTGTATGTATACCTGAAGATGAACCATAGTAACCGCTTTCCCAATACCGTACATAACACTTTGCCAGAAAAACGTCGCCGGCGACCGCTGCGCCGCACAGCGACTTCACCATCGCCGCCCCTTCCGCCAGGCACTCACCGCACTCCGCCGCCGTCAGATCCCCCAAGCACTGCGCGTAACCCTCGACGGCGCCGGCGGAGCTGACGCGAAACCCAGCCGCCGCCGCAGCCGCGCCGCCCAAATCGGCGAGCATGTCGTCTCTCCGCCGCACGAACTCCGCGTCGCCGCCGTTGCTGGCGCTGCACTTCTTATACCTCAAGCTGGTGTCCAGTTTTCCGACGAAATCGCCGCCGTCGTCGTAGCGGAGGAAGCAGCCGTCGAGCTGGAGGGCGGCGCCGCCCGTGTAGGGGCAGAGAAGGTCGAGCTGGCTTACGGCGGCGGCGACGCAATCGGCGCAGTCTCTGGTTTTAAGGTCGCCGCGGCACTGGTAGAGGCCGGTGGCGTTTCCGGTGGAGAAGGAGCTGTAGAGCGAGCGGGAAGAGGAGGAAGAAAGGGCGGAGAGCAAGGCGTTGAGATCGGATTGGTAAGGGGAGTTTGGGGGGAATTTGTCGAGGGAGCAGCCGGCGTAGATGAAGATGTTGGCGCGGCCGCCATGGATGATGCGCAGGAGAGCTACTGTGAAGAGGAAAAGGGTATAGAATTTGATGGCGGCGGCGATGGCGGACATAAATTTTTAATTTAGGGATTGAACAGAAGGAGAAGAAGATGATGCTGATGATGGTGGAGGAGGAAGTGAAGTAACTGTTTTTGGTGATAACTTGGAGGCTGCAGATTCTATACTGATCGTGTCACGTGGTGATGTTGATTTGATCGGATCAATATATATTTATATATATATTTATTTATTTATTTATTTTTTATTTGAGTGAAAATGGAGTATGTATATATATATATAAATATAATTAATTATTATTAAATTTAAAAATATTGCAGTGAGTTTGACACAAAATATTTGGGACGAAAGTAGTAACATTTATTAAATTATAATACGTAGTATAATATACTACCTCATTCCCGCTCTAAGGGTCCAATTTACTTTTTTTTCGTGTTGATCTTTGAATATTAATTATTATATGAAAATATAGTACAAATTAAGAGAAAATGAAAAAAATACTTATAATATTATTATAATGATATTTGAGCAAAAAAAAATATAAATATAAAAATATTTTTAATGTTAAATATAACGACGCAAAATGTAAGTCGGATCCTTGGAACCGAATAAGAAGAGTATAATGTATCATAAATATATCGAAATATATGTGATTAAAGTAGATACATATTTCAATATATTTATAATACATTATATGTTATATTATACTTCAGTATATACTATCTTATAATACAATATATTGAAAAATGAATAAATATATGTTAGATCCGTCAAATCCCGAAGCAAGTGACTTGTGACTTGTTTAGTGTGACAATTTGACTTGTTTGTTTAGTGTGATAATGTGACTTGTTCGATTCGTCAAATCAGAACTATCATACATGGTTCGGTTAGTGTGACAATATGACTTGTTTATCGGGCCTAGTTTACAGGGTATTTATATTCGATCAGAAATTTATCCAATACGTATTTTCGAATAGCGACGGTAGATTTTCACGTATTAAAAAAATAATAAAATAAAATAAAAATTGTTGACTTGCATCAATATGGCACACAAAAGTGCCTCCAAACGGAGTACAAAGAATAAGATTTGAGGCACATTCGTAACATAAAAAATAAAATAAAAAATATGACTGAATATAATCATAGGAAAGGTGATTATAACTTATTCATGGTGTAAAAGATAGAATGGGAATTGAAAATTTGAAATGGAAAATATTGAATATATTCTTATTGCAGAATAATTATAGTGTTTAACGAATATATTCGTTTTCAAAAGCTCCATCTGATATTAGCTTCAAATCGGGGGTTGGATTTGTGACCGTGAGGTCATGGATTCAAACCTCCGACGCCTCAGGTCACCAGTTACACATGATTCGCCTAGTGTGACTTTTCCGTCTGGCCTGATTTGCAAGGTATTAGGTTCGGCTGGGCTTTATTCAGTGCGCACTTTCGAGTAGCGGCTGCAGGTTTTCATGTCATAAAAAAAAAAGAAGAAAAAAAGCTCCATATGATATTAGGGTGGATTTAGTTTTAGAGATTGTTGGACAATTAGCTGATAATTGTTAACTGATTCAATTAGCTGATTTGACTAGCTGTTTGTATTAAAATATTTGGTAAAATAACTATTTGATATTAGTGGTTTATACTCAAAATAACAATTGAGCTAATTTCTATTACTCCCTCCGTCCCGAAACTAAGTATCTATTTGCTTTTTGCACGTAGTTTTAAAAATATTAGTATTATATTGGGATATAGTAGGAATAAAGTAGAAATGACTAAAACAACCTTATTAGTATGTGTGATATAAAAGTAATGACATTTGTGTAATATATTGTAAGTTGTAAGGGTATTTGTAATGTTAGGTAGAAAGTACAGTTACTAAAAAAGGAAATGGATACTTTGTTATGGGACAGACTAAAATAAAAAAATGGATACTTTGTTATGAGACGGAAGAAGTATATTTTTTTTTATAATGTATTCAATTGTGTTCTTTTGAGTTTAGAATGTTTGAAATTTTTTGTTATTAGTTATTGAAAAATTGTAAAAGTGTTATAAAATACTTCCTCTGTCTCAAAACTATAGTCTGGATTGTGTTTGACACGGGATATAAGAAATATTAATATTATAGTGGTAGTTGGTAAAAAATACGAGTAAAAAACTTTTTTGGTCTTATGAGTGTATTAGTATAAAAAATAGTGACAATTATGTAATAATAATGAAAAAGTAATAGTAGTTATATAAATTATTTATGGAAATGAGACTATTGTTTTGGGCCGGATAAAAATGGTAAACAAGACTATATATTGTATTGGGACGGAGGGAGTAATATTTATTTTTATTATACTTAGATTTAAAAAATAATATATTTTTATTGAAAAATATAAATAGTTTTATTTATTGAAAATGATGCAAAATATAAAATAATAAATTTTTCGTGTATATATTTATTATGTTAATTATCGATTAGTTCATTATATTTATAATTTTTAATAAATTTAATTTATTTTTAACATAAAATTTATATAATACTATAATTTTAATATTAAAATAAATTATTTATATTTATATTTTCTATTTTATATTGATTTTAATAAATTTATATATTTTATAATTAAAATAATTTATATATAAGATTAATTATTTTAAATTTTATAAAAGTAAAATTATAATATAATAATATTATAATATAATTAATAAATAATCAAAATATATTTATTTGTGTAAAATGCATAATAAATTTCTAAGGGTTTGTTTTTTTTGATAAATTTGGAAAAAATTTGGTTTATGTTTGGTAGTAAAATAATGTATGATAGAATATTTTGTGAGAGAAAAAAAAAATATTTTTTTCGGAAAAACGTAAGAGTTAAAATAGAAACCTTAGGATTTTGGTGTAAAGAAATACACGTGAAATAGTATAAATTTATACTACTTCCGTCATCGAAATCTATGTCGATTTGAATATAAGTTGTAAAAGAATAGATAAAAATAATTTTTTTAATAGTGAAAAAAATAAATAATATTTTATTACTAAAAAACAAAAATATTTTTATGACAACCAAAACAGAAAAAATAAACATAAATTTGAACCACAGGAAAAACATTTGAAATTAAGAAAAAAAATACTATATTATATAAATATTCAAAATAATATTTTGTAAAAATATATATATATATTTAATGTAATATTATTTGTAATTTCTTTTACTTTCGTTCTATAATTAAATATTTATTTTTTTTACGTAGTTTTAAAAATATTAGTATTATATTAGGATGTAGTAGAAATAAAGTAGAAATAACTAAAATAACCTTATTCGTATGTGTGATATAAATATATGACCTTTGTGTAATATATTATAAATTTTTGTAATGTTAAATAGATAGTACAGTTACTAAATAAAAACAAATATTTTTTTATAGAATAGACTAAAATAAAAAAATAAATATTTTATTGTGGGTTGAAGGGAATATTAATAACTAACTAAAATAACATTATTAGTATGTGTGATATAAAAATATGATATTTCTTTAATATATTATAAGTTATAAGGGTATTTGTAATATTAAATAAATACTTCGTTATAAAACATATCAAAATAAAAAAATAAATACTCTATTGTTGGTCGGAGGGAATATTAATAAATAATAAAAAATTTAACTATACACAACCAAAAGGAATTCCGAAACTGTGGAATCCTATACTCAAAAGTTGCGTTGGAAACAGCTTTTCCTTTTTCTGCATAATTAATTAATATTCATTAATTTCATACTACGATGTGTTTTTAAATATTTTTGCTGGTCTATTATTTATTTTTATTCATAATAAAAACTTTATTCTGAAATTAGTCCCATATTTAATAATAAAATAATCTTAGTTACAATTTTTATATTAAACAATTTTTTTTTCAAAAGAATTAAATATATTTTTCTTCCACAATTCTAAAAACTATATTTTTTTTCAAAAGAGTTAATATATTAATACATTTATTATTTCATATTAATTATACAATTTCATATACATCACATAAAAAATATATCTTCCAACAATTTTACTAAATAAATACATTAATATCTTATTTTACAGTTTAACTATTAATTTTTATTTAAGTATTTTAATAAAAGGTACATTGTTTTTTTAGTCTCGTAACAAGACTCTTTTATCATTTTAGTCCTGTAAGTGGAGTCTGTCGCAAACTAGTCCCATAAGTAAAAAAATTTCGCTATTTTAGTCCTCCGGCACCGAAGACGCCGGCGTGGCTCGCCGGAGGTGACGTATCCGCCGGATGTCCCGCCAGGTCAGCGACACTTGGCGGACGAAATGAGTAATATTTTTGTTTATATTTTTGTTTATAAATTTTTAAAATCGGGTCAAATAGCATAGAATTGGACGACGAAATGAGTAATATTTTTCATCATAGATTTATTATAGAAAAATCTAATCTTTTTTTAATTTAAAATATTAATTCTGCTCTAATTTTTTTTCTTTTTATTTTTTTATTATTATTTTTTTCATCATCCCACTATATTGTCAGAGTAAATTAGTGGAAGTGAACCGATCAATAAGTTATTATATATATATATATATATTCAGATTCACAAAAAGATGAACTATCGATTATATACATTAAAAAACTATTTAAGAGAGACATATTAAGTATTATATAGAATAGGTTGAGACGTAAATATGCGTGTTTTTTAAGTTGGGAATTGTTAAGAAGGGATTCAGACTTCTAACCTAAAACTAATTAGTTATAGGTGGAGTGACTCTTCACTTTTATAAGTCAACGAGAGATTCATATTTTTTCAATGTGGGATATATTCAACACTCTCCCTCGTGATGATAATCTCAAAAATCTATATATGATCCAAACTCAATACGGACACCATGACTTTGATACTATGTTAAGAAGAGATCCAAGTTTCCAATATAAAACCAATTAATAAAAGGTGGAGTGATCCTTCACTCTTATAAGCCAATAAGAGATTCCATATTTTTTCAATGTGGAATATATTCAACAGGGATGACTTAGGATCGTGAAGTTATTATATGCGCGGTTCCAAATAGCGCGAATCCATGGCTATAAAACGGCCAACACTAAAATATTCTTCTTGTGTCATTGTAGTGTTTGAATTAAGTCACACTTCGCAATACACAAACTCTCTTTTAACCCTTTTTCCCCTTGTACATTTCGAATCCCTCTCAAAATTGCACATCCAACAAGTTTACTAATAATGCAAGAGATCCGACGAATTCTTACATTATCGAAACCTATCTTTGCATGCACAAAGACATATTTGGCGGTGGCTTCCAAAGAATCATTGTAACTTAAATTGATTCAACGGGATAATCAACTCATCTTTGCAATTTCAAGGGCAGTATTACTAGCGTAAACAACAACATCAAATATCGGGGTTCTCTTCTTGATCGATACCAAGTGAGAATGACGGACCAATGCATTAATCTCCATTAGAGGTTTTTGCGTTCTTTGATTGTGTTTTCTCTTACAAGTGTTCCACTACATGAACAAGGATAATTTCTTTGTTGGCTGGATCGACAATAATATTATCAATGTCAAAGTTTTTCATATCTAATTCTAGTATATAAAAAGATTTCAATTGTTTTTTTAGAGTCCTCAAATTTTTAGAACACAGAAAAATCTCTCTAAAACTTCTTGTACTCGCTTTTTAAGATCTTTATATTCTCTATTTAGTTCATCGGATTCTATCTTTAATTCGTCGGACTTCTCAAGCTACTTATATAGGGATTTTTTTTTGAACCATTCTTCAATTTTCGATTAATCATCATAACAAAAGTATAAAAAAATACAACAAAATGACGTATTCAAAACTATTTTTAAATGGGAAAGTAATTTCGTGACAAATTTATGTCACAACTTTTTGTTTTAACTATTCCGTAAGTAATATTTGCAGAAAAAGCTACAAACAACTTTCCGTGACTATTTAAAGTAGCGGCTTATGTAACGAAAATGTCCAAGATATTTCTATTCCGTGTCTTTTGACTATTTTGTCACAAAAATTTTTTTTGACTATTTTAAGTTGCGGCAAAAATAACCAAAATATTTCCAACATTTTAAATTATTACAGATATTGTCATAGTATAATTTTCGTGATTTTTTTAAATCAAATGTCACAACATAAGTAACGAAAATAACTATAATTTTTTTTATTATTGTTCGTAGTTATTCAAAATAATAAAAAAATAATAAAATCATCTTCAATATCTTTATTTAATATCGTTCGTAGCTATTCAATTTGTTGTTAAAAAATCATGATGATATATTAAATAAATATATATCTATTTTTAAAAGATAAATTTATAATCAATAATATTTATATAGTTAAAATATAATAACAAATAAAAAGTAATATTTTAGAGTAGATAGCTAATATGGCATGACAAAGTCGTTTAAGTCTTTAATAACTATAAGGTCACTAGTTCGAAACCCTTCGAGGTGTAATGGTATTATTTTATATTTTGTTGCAGCTTCTGTTGCTATATAAAGTGACGGAGGTGTAATGGTATTATTCTACACGGAAATGGTTCCGTATACTATAGCCTAATTCTTATATTATAAAAAAGAAAAAAAAAATACTTAACTCCAACTATAATTCAAGCACTATGTTAGAAACATAGTAGATCATCAACAAACATGTGACAACATAGTGCTCAAGCTCACTTGAACAATGTGAAAAAAATTGTAACTTAAGTGGTTGAACACTCTCTTTACATCCTTTAATTTCCATTTGGTGCATGTAATGTGTGGAAAAAATAAAAGACAAAATTACTTATAATCCCCATCCATCTCCAACCACACAACTCTATTTACGTACTTATAACTCAAAAAATGCAATTGTTACAATAATTTAACTTCAACCCATAATTCTATTTTCAACTCCAAAATATATTATTTTAAACAACTTTTAAATCACTAAATAAATAATAAAAATACAAATATACACAATTAAAATATAAATATTACATGGACCAATTTGCAATTTGTAAAAAATAAAACAAACACACCATAAATGGCGTTGCTTTTGATTTTGCACTGTAGCAAACACAAAAAATGGTGTAGGGAATAGCGTCTGGTTGGAGAAGTTGATCTGCAAATATGGAGCTGCAACGTCAATTTTGACATTGCATTGGAGATGCTCTTATAGTTTGAAAAATCGGTATTATATTCTCCTGTAATTTAAAAATTGCACAAGACTCCATATTATTTTTAAAAAATATTTTATAAAATCTTTTAAAAATTGCATTAGACCCCTTTTGTATTATTATTTTTTAAATATTGGATAGAATCTTCTAAAAAACCATTAGTATAATATTTAGAAAATAAAAGAGTCTCATATAGATTTTAAATTATAAAGGTAGAGTAATGCAGATTTTTTAAATTACAAGTGAATAATTTATTTTTAAAAAATTAATATTAATATATATATATATATATATAAAAGATCACTTTAAAAAACAGTGTTACTTAAACAAGGAAATCAACTTTATTAAGTACTGTGTTATACTTATAATAACACATTGTGGCACACAAGAAATGTTTCATATATAAAAGAATTATAATACTCCCCTGCCAATTAAATTTATGCTAATTTTTTGTTTTTTTTTTTTTTTCTATTGTCATAAAAAAAATATTGTTATATTTTAGTAAAAAAAATATTACTTTTCTACTTACTATAAAAGAATTTATTTTATTTATATTTTTACTCATTTCGTAAAAACTGGTCAAATAAACATAGATTTCAATGAAGAAGGTAGTACAAAATATATATGAAAGAAAAATAAATCTAATATACTCTATTTTAGCCACAACAAATATATCAAGATGACATATATCAATTATATTTCCCTCCGGCTAAATTCAATATACTAGTTTTTATCAATTTTGTCGGTCCTACTCAAATGTATCAGTTTTCAATTTTATAGTAAAAATAATCCTATCTAATATCAAAATACTCTCAATTTATATATCCATTTTTCTTGTACTTTCAATGGTAAAAATATCAAACTATTTTCTACACTTTTGACTAAGGGTGAGCATTCGGATTTTCGGTATCCGAAAATTCGAAATTTTTAAAAAAATCAATCTGAACCGAACTGAAATTCGAAAATCCGTAATCCGAACTAAAAAAATCGAACCAAACCGAAAAATCCGAAATTCTAAATATTTTTATTATTTTTTTAAAATTTTAAATTTCTTTTATATTTTATTATTATTTTATAATATCAAATATATAAAATATATAAAAATTAAATATATTAAAATATAATTAATAAATTTGAGTTTTTTTTATATTAAAATATAATATTTTTTAATAAAATATTAAATATGTATAATAAAAAAATATATTAAAATGTTATATTTCGGATTGGTTCAGATTTTAAGTATACCGATCCGATCCGATTCGAAAATTCGAAATTTGTTAAAAATTCAATCCGATCCAATCTGAAAATCCGAAAAATTCGAACCAAAATTTAAATTTCGGTTTGGTTCGGATTGAATTTTCAGATTTCGGATATTTTGTTCACCCCTACTTCTTCTGACTAATAAAATGTTATTATTTGTTAAGTTACTATAGAAAAACGAAAAAGCACATTTGAATTCGGATAGAGCGATCGAGTGTATATATTTATTTAAATTACCTATACTTTAATTCATAATAGCAATATTGTTATAAACACAGCCTTAAATGAATTTTCTAAAATACTCGCACAATCTTTTTATATGATTTAGATACATTTTTATTTATTTAATTTTTTATCGCTAAGAATTGGTGATATGGGTGAACTTGTAACCGTAAAGTTATGAGTCCAAAATCTGTTGATGCCCTTTTGATTCTTGTACGGTTTATATGCTAGGTTTATCAAATGCACAAGGGTCGTTTGTGAGTTTTGAATTGAAATAGTTATTTGATGTGATATAAATATATATTATGTGATGTTTTGAATGTAAAATTAGATTTTAGCGTAATAAAATAAATAAAAGTTGGATGTTTGATTTAATATTTTTGGAGGAAAAATAAAGTTGAAATACTCCCTCCGTCCCGTTGGAAGAGTGACGTTTGTTTTTTGCACGTAGATATTTGAATATTAGTAATTATATTGGATTGTAGTAAAAAAGATAAAAATACCCCTATTAGTATGGTGTAATATAAAAGTAATGACATTTGTGTAATATATTGTAAGTTGAAAGGGTATTTATTATGTTAAGTAGACAGTACAATTACTAAATTAGGAAATGATAACCTTAATTTTGGGACGAATAAAAATGAAAAATGGTAACCTTTCATTCGGACCAAGAAAGTAATAAAATTAGAGTTAAAATCTTACAAGGAAACAAAGCCATAATAAATAAAGGATATAGCTTTAATTCATTATGATAGGATGGGTTCGAGAGATCATATAACATTACCAAACATTCGACATCCAAAATCCTCTCTTTCCCATCACAATCATGTCATTCGAATTAAGCTAAGCTAAGCTAAGCTAATTAATTAAGCAACGCAGAAACTGCAAATTAAAACAGTCATCATTCCCACAGACAGCATGGATCGATCGAACTTAGTATAATAAGAACCCTAGCTAATGCCAGAAACCTCGATCCAGTAATTAAACACGATCCAGACGTATATCATCGACATACGCCCCCCACACACATAAAATACATACACACACACACACATATATATATATATATATGATCGAAGAATAATAATTATTAATCTTAGTAGGGAGACAGACCCACATTTGCAGGAGCAAGAAATCCATCCTTCATCAGAACATGATCAAGCTCTCCTCCTTCCTGAACACCACCAAATTAATCAATTCATATTATAATTCTCCATTGTTGCCAATTCTTGGGGGAAGATCGAAGAGGTTTTTAGAAATTAAAAAATCTAGGGTTTTCAGACATGCATATGCTACCTGTTGCTGACAAACATTTGGTTTCTTCACGGGTTGATGATCAGGCATAAGTCCGAAATGAATGTGTGGGAAGTGGGCCCACTATAAAATAATAAAATAATTACAAAATTAATATATATATGTTTCTAATTTCAAGAAATAAAAAAGGAAACCCTAACAATGAAAGTTCTTGGATCTATCTTACATTCTTTGCAGCAGCACTGAAGGCTTCCCTGTGACTGATATCAGGGTTTCCAGCTTTGATGCGTTGAATCTCATCCCTGAGATCCAAGAATAATCGTTTACAAAATTAATATTCAAATTGTGCTTCAAATCATCGACAAATTCGATTTTTTATTTAGAGATAAAAATTAAATTTACATGTCGACAACTGACTACAATTTCTGTCATTGCAAATATATATATGAAAAGCAGCCATTAAAGGCATTTGATAAAAGCTGCAAGAACACATGGTCAATTCACATCTATGAAGTACACACCTGGTGGGGTTGGGGGTGGGCTAGGGTAGAGTAGGGTAAGGACTGTATATACATACATATATATATATATATGTAGGTTATAATTGCTTTATAATTACTTACTTGATGAAACGGTTGTATGCAGAAGGGACTCTCTGTCTTTTCTCTGGGGCTGAAATATAAACAATAAATACAGACAAACAATAAAACAGAAGCCAACATTAATTTCACTTGCCTGTCTTTCTTTGGATTTCTACATTCATCCTTTTACCTTTCACTATCTTTCTCTTTCTCCTCTCTCTCTCTCTCTCTCTCTAGATATCTCATCACTGCTTCATCATTATCTAATGATTTTTGCCTCTTTCCTATTTGTTTCTTTGTGTTTACTTTCAAGACAAGGCCAAGAAACATTTAATTATATCAATTTCAGAAAACATGAGTTGGAACAAAATCAGGGTTTGTTGAAACATCTGTGCAAATTGAGGGTTCTGATTTAAAGAGAAGAAAATGGAGAAGATAATGATAATCACATTAAAGGGTGAGATTCAGATTTCGATCTGATCGATGAAATATCAGAAATTAAATTTTTCTGTCAGCTGTTGAAGAGAGAAGACCTAAAATTATAGGACCAATTTAATTTCAGCTTCTTAACATTCCAAACACTTTCAAAGCACAAAGTTTAATGTCTGATCTTCAAACACATGTAAGTTTTAAGGACGTCTCAGAAAGATCCATCTTTTCATTAAAGATCACATTTTTATTTACTTGATTTTTTTTGGAAATTCGAAAAGAACAGAAATACAGAAATGATTTTAAACATATGCAAGTGTAAGGACGTCTGAGAAAGATTCATCTTTTCATTAAAGATCACACTTTTAATTACTTAATTTTTTTGGAAATTCGAAAACGAAGACGAACAGAAACACAGAAGTGATTTCAAACATATGCAAATTTAAGGATGACTGATCAGAAAGATTAATCGTTTCATTAAAGATCACATTTTTATTTACTTCAATCTTTCTAGAAAATCGAAAACGTAGAAGAACAGAAACACAGAAATGATTTAGTTCTCACGTCTGTTAGCCACTGGAGGCTTCGGAAGCTCGTCGATTCCTCGCACAGCCGTCACAGATGACTCTGTCGGACTCAGCTGATTGTTGATAAGCAAGTTCGACGGCGAGTTCCGAATCTCTTCCTACATAAATTTGAAAAAAATTAATTTCAATCAAGGATAAAAAAATTTCAAAAATTCAGAAAATGAAACGAATTTCGAAGAATCATTTGATGGATTTGCAGAATCTGTAGTGTGCAGACAGACATATATAATAGAAGTGCAAGCAAATAAACAGAAACCCTAAATAAGAACCCTAATTAGATATATATATATATATATATATAAATACCAGAAGATTCTGAGGAGAGAAGAAGGAGTGGCCAAGATGGAGCTGATTAGGTGCAGGAGGAAGAAGCAATCCACGCATGTTGACAGAGAGAAGATTGGTACAATGTCCGCATCGAACGGTGACAGTCTTGAACAAGCTCGTGCAAGGAACACTCACCTATATATATATATATATATATATACACACATATATTTCAACAATTGATGATTTGATATATTATTATTAAACAATTAAAATAAATCTGAATGATTTTGTTCAACGAGGAGGCAGCAGCTTTTGAAGAAACCCACATTGAACAACAAGAAAGAGGAAGAAGAAGAAGCTACCTATAGGGGACATATATAGATACATATATATATGTACATATATAAGTGTGTGTGTGGGGGGGGGGGGGGGGGGGTTGTGAAAAGATGGATGGATGGACAGATAGAGATTGATGAGAGACAAGTGATAAGAAATAGGTAGGTAGAACAAATACATACCGCGAGGACAGTGTCACAAAAGTTGCAATGGACGTAACAGAGCTGATCGGTGGTGTGGGGGGGGTGGTGGTGGTGGTGGTGGTGGTGGAGGTGGTGGTCCGGTGCAAAAGCTGCAGATGATGAAGAGGACATGTTTTCTTTTTTCTTTTTGTTCTTATGATAAGGTCTTGTCTCGAGACGACTACAACTATCCAACTTTCTTTCTTTGTCTCTCTGGATATGTGATTTTGATTTGATGATGATGACGATGATTTGAGTGACTGATTGATTGATGGATTGACCCATCGAGGTATGTATATATGAAGGCTAAGGCTAGGGCTAGGGCTAGGGCTACACTGCTACTGTGTTCCGACAGGGAAGTAGATAGGGTTAAGGGTAACCTCATCAATAATTTAGAGCCATCGATGATCCTGCTGCTTCGATATTATTATATCTCTTCTCCCAACAAACAAAGAAGGAAGACATTCAAAGACAAAAAAAGTAGAGGTGGGTAGGGTAGGGGTAGGGTAGGGTTTATAATTTGCTTTGCAATGGAATGGTGATAATTAATTAAACGAATGAAGATGTTAAGATAAGAGGTGGGAGATTGTGAATCGCATTGCCCATAGGATTTGTGTCTGTGTGTCTGACTGTAAGAGAGAGACAATGAGAGAGAGAGAGAGAGCTAGAGAGAGAGAGAGGTATTAAGTGTGAAAACAACAGGTGAATGACTCAGAGCAATGGCCACCATGCAAACGTCCCTTTCTCATCCCCCCTCCGCATCTCTCTCTCTCTCTCTCTCTCTCTCTCTCTCTATATATATATATACATATGTCTCTGTGAGTGTATATGTATGTATCTGTGTGTTTAACCAAATAACAACCCAGATAAGACTTAATTATGATTCAAGGGTACTTGCAAGTTTTGAAAAAAAATTGGTTTGCATTTGTATTAAGATAATGTACTACAAATATTTTGTGAAATAAAAAAGTATATTTTTTTTCGAAAAATGCAAAATTCAAATCTAGCAGTAACATGAGTTTTGTCTCAGAAAAACAAATCCCAAGTGTATTTTGGTGCATCTTTATTCCCATTAGGTAGTTAGGGATGTTTAATTTTATGGGTATAGATAATGTTGTCACTAAAAAATTTAATCGTCGGCCTATAAGGATGTTGGACCGGTCGGATGAAGTAAAAAATAGAGTTCTCGGCTAACTTAAGCAAGTCTTTCGGACGGACTTATGTGTGATCATTTTTACGAAATGAAAGAATGAAAATTGCAATATATTAAGGACAATTTGAAAATTCATAAATGAAAGGATGAAAATAACATAAAAAAAAGTACTTGTACACAAGGGAAGTTGGAGTGATTTTGAGTTGGATCTCTAAAATATACATATAAAATAGAACTGACAATACATATTAATATTTTATATAATGCATACTAATATGTCATATGATAGGTATTATCTTTCTAAATTTTTATATATTATTTATATTATTTTTATCTATCGATTGAACAATCAGTATAGTGCTGATAAATCTCGAATCAGCACTCAAAATATTTTATTAATCATCAATGAAGTTATTTTGTTAATGTTCAATTCATTGGGTTAGTTATTAGCTTTGTAACTTATGCATTAAAGTCTTCATTATATATAGCTTTCAGAACTATAGGTTTTCTTCATATGTTTCGTTAATCCCAAAAGCAATTTCTTCTCTTTTTGGACACAATAACTCATTGGGCCAACCTTTCCTTCACCCTTCTTGGCCATAACAACACCACTTCATAATCGAATTCTTTTTCAGATAAAAAAAAATATAATATCGAACTCTTTAGATCCTTTGGGTCATGCTTCCAATAGCATTCTTTGGTGCTTTGGGACTGAATCCTTTGAAAATGATATCATGCAATTCCTATGTCTTTTCTTGATTTGCATTATATTTTTCTTATTTTTGCCTCTCGTAGGCTTGTCTTTCAAACTCGGAAGCCCATTGTACAAATTATTTGTCTCCAAGTATGTTTCATTAGAAATATTCTCGGATGTTACTTCATTAAGGAATGACATGATGAGCTCCCTATATAACTTCCTAAAGAAGATCGAAGGTATGATTCCTAACATCTTAATATTTTTAGTGTCACTAGAGACCATGTCCGAACTCTTGGATAAAGATGATTAGTTGTTTTCTCTCATATGGTTTTAACAATGTGCTGATTTTTGTCATTTCGGGATTAGCCTCATCCCTCAACTTAATACTCTCCAAAGGATATTGAGGTTGTCGTTCCTTCGGATTTAATAAAAATAGCTCATTCTCTTTATGAACATTTTTTAGCAACAAAATAGAATCAATCTTATCTACCGGTTATCAAACCCTTATAGATCAAATGGTGAGATATTTTTTACTTGAGAGTTAGATACTGAATTCGAAAAAATGAATTTTTCTCGACCTTTAGTGTTTCCACAATTTTTTATGAAGGGTAGATGAAAAGTATTGTGATCATTTTGAGTTCTCACAGCAATAACAACTACCAAAATTCCAATCGTGTTGTAAAAATTTCCGATGAAGTATGTAGTCTCCATGGACATCGCAATCAAATTATTCCTTGTCCTCCCGCTCTTCCGTAAGGTAGAAAGAGTTAATGCGAAAGTATATCCTATATGTTTGTAAATTGACAAGTTATAATATTTACATATTGTCTATATGTGCATTTATTATTTTTATCATGTAACATTTCACGCCCATATTTGATATTGTAAGTTAAGTATTTTCATTTTTATTCATTGATTCCTTAGTACATATTTCTTGCGATATAGGGATCTCATTTATTTGGAGTTTGGTTTTGAGTTTTAATTTGAATAATAATTTGAATTAATATTTTATAAAAAAACAATATATTTATCTAGAAAATCACAAAAATTGTACACAACTCTAATGATTATATATATATATATAATGTATTATATTTTCTTCCCAATCATAACATAACATCCAACTACTTGTAAATCATATGTCCTGTAAGGATGATTTAGTGGCGTGAGAGGTGAACTTGTAATCGTGAAGTTATAAATTTAAAATTTTTCGACGTCATTTGGTCTTACTTAGCTTGTCACATATGGCTCGTCTAATAAATTTGGTCTTACTTAGCTTGTCACATATGGCTCGTCTAATAAATTTGTCTTCCCCACTTAGTTTTCAAGCAATTAGGTGATTCGGCCGAAGGTTTATCACATCATCAAAAGAAAAGAAATTACAATCATGAAGTTAAAGAAATATAAAGTGTTTTTTATTTAAGATTCTCACGTCATTAAAAAAAAAAAGTTATGATGCTTAATTTATTAATTTAATCAACATACGAAATTATTATAACCATAATACGGTTGAAATTAAAATAACATATATTTTGTGCTTTTTTACCATGTATTAATATCAATTTAGAAAACATTTGTATTATGCTAACATGTAACTTATATTGTGTATATTATTACTATATGATATGTGGACTATTACCATTTGTATTGTGTTAATATACCATCTTGTGTCCAAATTAGTTATGACATATGATGTATATATTAACTTTAATGGTAAACTGTTTTTTTAGTCCCGTAATTGGACTCTCTTGTCGCAAACTAGTCCTATAAGTGAAAATTTTTTGCTATTTTAGTCCTCCGGCGCCGGAGATGCCCGCATGGCTCGCCGGATGTGACTTGTCCGCCAGGTGTCGCTGACATGGCGGACACGTGGATTTTTTTTTATCTTTTTTTTCATTTTTTAAAATTTTTAAAATTTTTTTTTAATTTATTTTAAATTTTATTTGTATTTTTTATATTTGGTCTAATTAAAAAAAAATTAAAAATGAAAAAAATAAATAAATCGACGTGTCCGCCGAGTGTCGCTAACCTGGCGGGACACCTGGTGGACACGTCACCTCCGGCAAGCCACGTGGGCGTCTCCGGCGCAGGAGGACTAAAACAGCGAAAATTTTTTACTTATGGGACTAGTTTGCGACATGCTCCACCTACAAGACTAAAATGATACATGGGTCCATTTACGGGACTAAAATAACAGTTTACCCTAACTTTAATTAGCACTCTAAGGCCATCTCCAACCCATTATCTCCATTTATCCAGTTTTAACTCCAAATATGCAGTTGCTACAGTAATTTTACTCCAACCATAACTCTACTTTTTACTATTATTCTTCAAATATTAAATTTTTCCTATTATTTTAAACAACTTTTTATTTTTATAATTTAAAATAATATTTTAAAAAATTTTAAAAAATAAAAATTTAATTTATAATTTAAAGAAAAAAAAAATAGCGTTTGCTACAGTGCAACACGGTGTTGCACTGTAGCAAACTCTAAATTTGGTGCTGGGAATGCCGCTGGATTGGAGCAGCTCGGTGGCAAAAATGGTGTTGGAATGCCAGATATGGAGCATGGTTGGAGATGCTATAATAAACCTTCCGCCAAATCACCTCTTTAAATTTGTTGTGTGTTTGTTTTTATTTAAATTTGACTTTTCTTTTTAAAAGTAGAAATCTAGTTTATATAGTATTTTAAAGTAATATTTTGTTAAAAAAAATATATTTTTTTTATTAAAAATTGTACAAATTAAGAAGTATAAAATTAAATTTAAAATAAAAAACAAACAAATTGTTATCGTTAAATATTATATTAAACTACTATTTAAATACAAAAGTAAATTGTTATCGTTAAATATCATATTAAACTACTATTTAAATACAAAAGTAATATACAAACATAAGCCCAAAACAAACCATTGTTTATTTGTGTTGTACACATAATACTCCTCTATAAACTATAATAACTTACTATTTCATTACAAAGTTTATATTAGATTCAATAAATACTTTTCGTTAAAATATCATATTCAATATTTTTGTAAAAAAAAAAAAGACATTGCATACAAAAGCATTGTTGTAAACAACAAGTTAGGATCTTGTTCATTTATTTTATGTGGAGCAACAAGATCGATTTAGCCTCCATTTACATACAAGTTCTTGGAGTTTTAGAAATTTTGAAAAACAACAAAAAAGTTGAGTATTTAATTTGATATTTTAAAATAAAAATCGATCAATGCTATAATTTTAAAAAATATTTATTCTTGATAAATTGTATCAAAATTTTCAAAAGTATATGTATATATATATATATGTGTAAATAAAGCCAAAAATTTATTTAGATAATTTTGATTTATAACTTGATTTTTTGTTTTAACTTAAATAATATTTTTGATATAATATTATTCTTAAAATAACATATATTTACATGTGAAAAAAAAAAAAAAAAAGACAAAAGTCAAATTTGAAGGAGTCTAAATATTAATGCAAAAAGATAAATATAAGAACTGAATCTAATATATCACATGCCAAGACGTACATGATTATCCCTTTCAATATATTGATATATATATATATATTAATTTGTTCCCCCAGCGTTTTTAAATAAAACAAT